TTTTCTTATATATAACTAGATGCGACATTTTATTTTGTGAATTTTTTTAGAATAATGTATGTGTAATGATTCACCCATAATCTATTTAAGGAAGGAACATGTTTAGAGTACACTTCTAATAGAAGCTATTTCTTTTCTTATATATAAATAGAATAGATATATACTACCTCCGTCCCAAATTGATGGTCCTAGTTCATGTTCATATTCACTTGGTCAATACAAATTATTCTTAATCATTTACTTTTTATATCAAATGCTTATGAAATTTGAACAACTTCATCTATGTGATATTTTAAAACCATTGATCTATTTTACATTAACAATACTATCATACATTGAACATTTTTTTCATTTAGAGTGTTATTTAGAGTGTGTTTGGTAACACATAACATGGCTGAATCTATTGAAATTGATGAAGTTTTTGTTGAAACCGTTCAACTGGCTGCATATAGTGAATTATGGAAAAAATAATTTAAAATATATCTTATCTAAAAAATAAATAAACATTTATCTGAAAAAGTAGTTAAAATTTTTGTTTATAATAAATTCATTCAATTCAGGAAGTAAATGAACTTCAATTTTTCTTATTTTGATCATTATACAATTCAACGCACAAATTAAAAATTTAATTATTTGATGAAAAAATCACTAATAAGGTTGATAAATCCAAAATAGGGTCACCAAACAGCACATAATTTTAAATGAAAAATGAGAATATAAGCATTTTTATATATTATATAAGGGCTAGTTTTTATTTATAATAGTCACTAAATGTCAATAAAACATATTTTTATCCATTATCCCTTGCTTGAAAATCTATTTTTATAGGGTGGGCCCGGCCGATTATATTTCTCCTCAAGCCTTCATTGCTTTGGAGAAATGGACACATATGAATTAAATTTAAAAGTTTTATTTATTAGCATTTTGACATCTTTATAGCAAAAGAGTGAATCATGGAGAAATGGACACATATGAATTAAATTGAATTAAATTTAAAAGTTTTATTTATTAGGATTTGAGCACCCGATGTGGTTATCATTTTCATTTGCTAATTTTTTAATTCATTCAATTCAGGAAGTAAATGCACTTCAATCTTTCTTATTTTGATCATTATACAATTCAGCGCACAAATTAAAAATTTAAGTATTTGATGAAAAAATCACTAATAAGGTTGATAAATCCAAAATAGGGTCACCAAACAGCACATAATTTTAAATGAAAAATGAGAATATAAGCATTTTTATATATTATATAAGGGCTAGTTTTTATTTATAATAGTCACTAAATGTCAATAAAACATATTTTTATCCGTTATCCCTTGCTTGAAAATCTATTTTTATAGGGTGGGCCCGGCCGATTATATTTCTCCTCAAGCCTTCATTGCTTTGGAGAAATGGACACATATGAATTAAATTGAATTAAATTTAAAAGTTTTATTTATTAGCATTTTGACATCTTTATAGCAAAAGAGTGAATCATGGAGAAATGGACACATATGAATTAAATTGAATTAAATTTAAAAGTTTTATTTATTAGCATTTGAGCACCCGATGTGGTTATCATTTTCATTTGCTAATTTTTTAATTTCGAGTGACATTATAATAGGAAGGAATATGGTTTATAATACTTTGATAATGAGAGTATAACGTTATATTTTGATTAAAAGTAAGACTATGAGCCCTTTTGGTAACACTGAAATCGGTTGAATTGGCTAATTCCGTAGAAATTTACGAAGTTCTGCAAAAAAGGTGAAGATAGACATGTTACATAATAACTGTGCAAAATGGTATTTTTAATAGCCTAATTCTTTCTTATATGTATATATATATAATTGTAAACATAATTATAGAGACCTTTAACAAATATTTCTTTATATATTCAATATTGATCTCATTTGAAAGATCACAAAAAATATGAATTTTGATATATAGTTTGTAAAAATTAGAGACCAAATGAAAAAGTTATAACGCTTTAAAGAAAATTAAGGTTTTTTATATACTTATTAAAAGTAAGATAGATGACGTATATTAGTAGGCCAAGTTTTTATATTTTTTATCTCCCTAATTCATTTTTTATAAAGTAAATAACAAAAATGCAAAAGATGAAGTCACATGAGATAAGTACATCAATGCTCTCTATCACTTGTAGGTAGACATGTTACATAATAATTGAGAGTAAAACCGTATTTTTAATAGCCTACTACTTTCTTATAAATTAATATATATACTACTTCCGTCCCAAATTAATAGTCCTAGTTCATATTCATATTCACTTGGTCAACACAAATTATTCTTAATCATTTACTTTTTATATCAAATTCTTATGAAATTTGATTCAGGTTTTTGCGACTTGGTAAAACTTTTAATGTAGTTTATGAATATGTAAATTTTATTTGCTACAAATAATTTGAGTGCGAATAGAAATTCATTTGATTTATCATCGATCAAGTCTCGTAAACCTCAACATGACCATTAACTTGGGACGGAGGGAGTATAATTTTCTTTTATACATAATTATAGAGATCATTCAAAAATTATATTTTTTATATATTCAATATTGATCTCAAATGAAAGATCACAAAAAATTATGAATTTTGATATATTTTTTATAAAAATTGGAGCAAGAATGAAAAAGTTATAACACTTTAAATAAAATAGGGTTTTTTTTATAGTTAGGGCCCCACAAAATGCATGTCTTGCGCGAACACTTGCTTTCCTTCTGTGTTCAAGAATACATTTGGAGTAAAAAAAGCCACTTGGCATTCTTGTATCAAATGAGCAAATTAAGGAGAGGTGGACACATGGGATTAATGAAGGGCAAAATGGTATTTTGATGAACTATTTCTTTTCTTATATATAAATAGATAAGATAGAGTCGAAAACATTTTGTATGAAAAGTGCAAATGATTTTGGTTTGATTATAATTTCCATTAAAAGTGAACGCACACCATAAGCAAATTATATCATATACTCAGAAATCAGAATGTATTTTTACATATGGTAATTTTAAATAATTTTAGAACTACTCCGTACTTGTTTTGTATATGAAAATTTCTCATTTCATCGTGCGTTTTACCCGTACGATGCAATGATGCATGTGATAACTTAAGTTCTAAATAGTTTTATTTTTTATTATATTTGCGGAGCCTATGCCCGGGCGAGCCTAGATTCCGGGTAGGTCTGGACACAAAAAACCGTTGACCGTTAACCGTATAAAAAACCAAATTACCATTGTTTTTTGGTTAACCGTACCGGATTTTTCATAATTTCACGGTACAGTTAACCGAGTCCATGAAATAATGGTTTATGGTTCAATTGTAGTTATGAGAATTTGCTATCCATGGTTAACCGATAACCGGAAATCACTTAGCATGTTGTTTCCGTAACTCTTTTCTTGGGGTCCAATCAAACTTTCGTTGTCGCTTGGAGAACTATGTAGAGTTAATTTCTTGCAAGACTCTTTTTTCCATCGCTGATTCGCTGCACTTAACAACCTATCAAAATGAAGTCTCTAGAATTAATTTCATCTTTACGTGTTAATTTCTTGCAAGACTAGTATTCCATTCTTTTTGAAATATTGAATTAACTAATAATTGCAGCATGTATTGCGGTAAATTCAAGCCTCGTGCATGTATAAGGATGTTTATTACGTTCTGGATGACGGATGTGTTTACTAATTTAAGTTGGTAGTTTTGTTGTTGTTTCCTTTTTTGGTTCTTTTTTTATTGGGAGAACTATCAAATAAGCCCTCGAACTTTCATAAAAAGTGCAAATAAACCCTTTTACATGAGGTTTTGTCTGGATGTCGCCATTTGAGGTGGTTTCCGGCGGAATTTTTTTATGACATTTTTTGAGCATCTTATTCATTAAGTCTAGTTTACTCATACCAAATTTCAACTAAAAATTCAATCGAAAAGGCAGTCAAATGATTTTTTAAAATATACTACGCTGTCTAACTGCGTAGTTATCTTAAAAAATTCATTTGACTGCCTTCCCGATTGAATTTTTAGCTGATATTTGGTTTGAGTAAACTAGACTTAATGAAGAAGATGCTCAAAAACTTTCATCAAAAAATTCCAATGGAAACCGTCCCAAACGGCGACGGCCGGACAGAGCCTCCTATAAAAGGGTTTATTTGCACTTTTTATGAAAGTTCAAGGACTTATTTGATAGTTCTCCCTTTTTTATTTTAGGTTAACCGGTTAGTGGTTAACCGAAATTTTGGTTAACCGATATTCGGTTAACCGATGCTACGGTATGGATAATTGTATTGAATATATAGTTACCAAAATCTCGATTAACCCGACTCTTGATTAACCAAACCGCGGTTAACCACATATGCCCACTACTAGTTCCGGGTCAGGCCACCCAGCCCGAGTCCACCACTAGTTATACTATGAAAAATGAAAGAAATTAAACAACAAAGTTTGTGTTTTAATTTATGGGTTCTGATAATTTGGACTGTGTTATGGACAAACATGGGGGTTTTAGTAAGGGTTGTTTATTTATGACTTAGGAGGTGTTTGGATCTGATTCTTAAAACTGCTTCTGCTCCTTCAGAGAGCAGAAGCAGAAGTTAGAGTGTTTGGGTGAAAGTGCAGAAGTGATTCTGGTGCTCTAAATTACTCCTAGAATCAATTTTTTTAGAAGCTGAGGGTGACCAGCTTCTGAAAACTGATTCTGATTCTGCTTTAAAAAAGAATCAGAATCAGAATTAGTTCCAAACACCCTCTTAATGGAGTTCAGGAGAAAAATGACTTAATGGTGCTTTTGTTGCTCATTCTATGCTATGTAATCCTCGTTTGAATATATACAACTCCATTTGTAGGAAACTCCTCCAATTTGGATATACCATGTGAGAACCTGCAGAAAAAATCAGAGACCTGCCACCTCCCGGTTTGAATCCTTGATATGATTCTGAGAACATCTGGTGATATATTAAGTTAGTGAGCATTTCTAAAACTGCCCATATTAGCATTTAGTCAATTCGAACACGGACTAAAGATAGAAACACCAAATCAGAAAGAAAAACTGTTGAAATATTTTGCAGTCGAACTGTTAAAAACTACAAGTAGAGTAGACAGAAGGCAGGTTCTTTATTTATAAATGAAAAACCCTTAAAACGCGCCAAATTGTGCTCCAACATCTTGGGGTATTACAAGCGACATAATCCACACCACCGTAAAATCAGAACGGAATTAAATTCATAGTTTCACTGATGAGGTCAGTGTCTATACACAGCTTCGACAACAACAAAATACACTTCCCGTATGGTAGACAACACTAGCTCCAACTCGGGTTGTCACGAATCTTATTATGTAGTTCGGAGCCGACAAATGTGTATCCCTGGGTTATGGACATCAGACAAAAAAACAGCTTAATATTCGGAGCGTTACATTAAGCTATAATCATTATAGAGCAGCCTATCCACTAAGTAGTTGCTAAAATTAAAACAGGTCAAGGCCAAGACCAAAAGGCTCCTGGTCCTATATAACACTTCATTTTTTACGAGACAAGATAAAAATGCTAAAACACAGTGTACATTGTTTTTATATTGCAAACAATCACCATTTATGTTTATTACTTTTTAAACATTTATTTATGTGTTTTTTATTTGTAAACTCCGCCATGATATCATTTTTTTGGTATCATGTTTGTCCCAAACCAGGATAAAGGAGGGAGGTGTTGTGGTAGGCGTGTGACGGCCAACAGTATCACCTAGTCACATCACATGACATGAATCGAAATATGAATATCACTAATTTTGGTGGTGATATCATGTATCGATTCATGTTAGCCGACCCCAATATCTTTTGGGACTAAGGCTTGGATGTTGTTGTTGTTGTATGTGTCTTTTATTTGTAATGTACTATAGATTAAACACAAACTCACACAGAAAACCTGAAGCCTGATTATCATCAAGAGAAGGTGCAGTTTTAGTGGCTCAATTGTTGTCGCGAAAGGTATTGACCATTGCTTTGTTTATATATATGCGACCACTTTTAGTCCCTTAATGGTCAATAAAGTGCAAGAGTATCGTTTGCGGTGGTTTGGCCATGTGTGTAGAAGACCGAGTGATGCACCTGTTAGATGACTTGAGGGGTGGGGAGAAGAGGCAGAGAAGAGATGAAGGAGAAGACCCAAACAGACTTGGATTAGAGGAATCAGAACTGATATGTGTCTTCTTGTGTTGGATGAGAGTGACTTTGGAGAGAGCAAAGTAAAGAGCGCACATTCGTACGTGTGGACGATTGATGTCTTTTCTACCTTTCCTCTCTTTTTTCTTTTATCGTTTATCTTCTTTATCTTTTTATATTCTTATGTTATTTATATATTCTAGCTTTTTATGCTCTTTTTTTATCTTTTATCTTTCTTATATTCTTGTGTTATTGTTATCTTATATTTATTTATCTTTATTTTATTCGTTTTATCTTACTTTTTTTTTCTTCCCTTTCTTGTCCGTCTTCTCTGTTTGGCATCGATATCATTGATCGATTCATGTTAGCCGACCCCAAATTCTTTTGGGATTAAGGCTTGGATGTTGTTGTAGACTTGTAGTGGTCAATAAAGTAATAGTTTCACACTTTTACCCTCAAACAGTAAATATTATATATATGACCACTGTTTTGTTGCCAAACATGTTGTTCTATATTATCATATTCTATGTTTAAAGCTATTGGTAGTTTCTAGTTGGGATAATTTGAGTTTGCACCCCATTTTATTATCCAAATTAGACTTTGCACCCTGTTTTTGAAATCATTAGTATTTGCACCCCAACCTTGTATGAAAAGACAAAAATGCCCCTCGATCAGGATTATGTTGAAGGCCAACAAAATTTTTAATTGAGGGGCATTTTAGTCTTTTCATACGGGGTTGGGGTGAAAATACTAAAGATTTCAAAAACGGGGTGCAAAGTCTAATTTCGACAATAAAATGGGGTGCAAACTCAAAATACCCCTTTCTAGTTTGGTACATTGGCAGAGAATTAAGTATTTAAGAGGGATTAATAAAACAAAACATGCATGAGAGGCAGATAGGTAGCTGGGCGGAAATCAATGGTGAATGGAAATATATCAGAATCAACCTTAACGAAACAGTTAGTTACGATGCAGCAGCCAGCAGTAGCTCCCTATCTGCCCGCTCCCTGATCCTCCTTTCGAGCTCTGGTCTGAAGTGCCTGATAAGGCCTTGAACTGGCCAGGCAGCAGCATCGCCTAATGCACAAATTGTATGTCCTTCGATTTGCTTGGTCACCTCATGAAGCATGTCAATCTCCTCCAGCTTTGCATTTCCAACCTTCATTCTTTCCATGAGCATCCAAAGCCACGGAGTACCTTCTCTGCAAGGAGTACATTGGCCACAACTCTCATGCTTATAGAAGTAAGATAGCCTCGCAATAGCATCCACAATATCAGTTGACTTATCCATCACAATCACAGCAGCAGTGCCCAGACCCGACTGAACAGCCTTGAGCGCATCAAAGTCCATAAGAACATCCTCACATATGTTCTTTGGGATTAACGGGACTGATGAACCTCCCGGTATGATGGCAAGTAAATTGTCCCATCCACCACGAACACCACCACAGTGCCTCTCAATTAGTTCCTTCAATGGAATACTCATTTCCTCTTCAACTGTGCAGGGCTTGTTCACATGACCTGAGATACAAAATAACTTTGTCCCAGAATTATTTTTCCTCCCGAAGCTAGCAAACCACTCTGGTCCGCGCCTTAAGATGGTTGGTGAAACAGCTACTGTCTCCACATTTGTAACTGTTGTTGGACAGCCATAGAGACCTGCGTTCGCCGGAAAAGGAGGCTTCAGCCTGGGTTTGCCTTGTTTCCCCTCAAGACTCTCTATAAGAGCCGTCTCTTCACCACATATATAAGCACCAGCGCCGAAATGAATATGGACATCGAAATCATAACCAGATCCACAAGCATTTTTCCCTAAAAGCCCAGCCTTATAAGCCTCTTCCCTAGCCCTCTCAAGGTTCTTTCTTTCATTCACATACTCACCTCTTATGTAAATATAAGCAGCACTAGCTCTCATTCCCGTTCCTGCAATCAAACAGCCTTCCAACAATTTGTGTGGATCATGCCGCATTATTTCTCTATCTTTACAAGTACCAGGTTCACTCTCATCAGCATTGACCACAAGATACGAAGGACGTCCATCAGAAGTCTTTGGCATGAAGGACCACTTCAGACCAGATGGGAAACCTGCACCACCTCGTCCTCGAAGTCCTGATTTTTTCATCTCATTGACAATCCAGTCAGAGCCTTTTAGTACGAGGTCCTTTGTTCTGTACCAATCACCTCGTGTCATGGCACCCTTAAGAAAAGGATCATGCAATCCGTAAAGGTTTGTAAATATGCGATCCTCATCTTTCAAGCCACCAAAATGAGTCTTTTCGGGTGGCGGGGGAGGAGGTGAGGGCTGTGGTGTATTAGAAGTTGATGCAGCTTGGGTGCTAGATAATCTAACGTGTAGTCCCCACTTCTGACTACAATGCCGAGCTAAAGTAGTCCTTTGGAGTGAAAGAAGGCACTTTAGAGGTGCCTGCAAGGAAACATGTCATAATAACATTAGCTGCATTGTCTAATTGTGGGCACAACCGCATAAAGCAACCAGCACATATGCAAAGTAAACACAAAACACATTCTTTAGCTATGGTTGTAAATTGAGGAAAAAAGGGCTTTTGTACACAAATATCTAGTGTGAAGATTGCTAATGTCAATAAACATGAGATCCATTAGTCACTGTCTTAATTTTAGTTATGAGCGGGGTTAGGATGTGGCAGACTCCTCGTCTCCTCCTAGACAGACCCACAAGAAAATTTATTTATTTATCACTAAATGGCAAAACTCTTGAACTTAAAAAATCGATGATATAAGAAAATAAACTGCTTTCTATTAGCTAGAAAAGTTTTATCTTTTTCTTTCAGGAATTAAAGTAGATTGTGAAATCATATAAAATGAAAAATTGCATTTGGGGTATCTGCAAATCGAAATTAGACTCTCCTTAGCTCATCTGGCATCTCAGTGGGAATCAAGTAACAGACATCTTTATCAAAGTTTTCAAATGGGCGTTTTATGGCCCCAGTAAGAAATTCTGGCAACTATGATCCAATCTACTTGCGTTTTAGAAAGAAAAATAAACATCAAAGCTACTCCTATTACAAAATAAGAATTTAAACAAAAGTACAAATACAGAAAGAACCAAACAGCTCGAATCTTTGATTTTGATGCTAGGTAGATTTTCATTCAAACTAAAAAAGAAAAAGGGAAAATAGTTGAAACGAGGAGCTGAGAAGGTGATTCGTACCATAGCAGGGGGGGACACCCGAAATGAAGTCGGCTGATCTGAGATGCGAAGTTTGGGAAATGAGAAGTTAAGCCCTCAACACAGTCCAGGACGATGATACGGAAGAAGCTCTAGGACTGAAACGTGACCGCATTCCACGCTTCGTTTGTGAATCGAGGTGATCCACGTAAACAAGAGAAATTTGCAGTTTTTGGGCTTTAAATTGTACAATTCGGCTTGCAGAATGGGCTGCATATTTACGAGGTGGTGCGTAGTCTGGCCCATTTTACTTTCTTCTCAATAAGTATTGTATCTGCTGAATCTTCCAATAAGAGAGCAAGCACAGGTGCTGCAAATCTGCTAAGTCCAAAGAGAATGGCATATATTCATGATACCAATCAAGAGTTTCTGGATTCAGACTGCCTTGACCGCTCTACTAGTGTGTGTACCGTAAGTCTTAATTTCTTATTCATATACAATACAATACAACATGGTACCTATCAATGATGATAAATGGTTATTTAGGACAATATGTGTTTTTACATTTCAATTAATTGGTGTTTTTCCCATGAATTTTCTAAAATGCCTCATTATTGGACAAGTTGATAATCGTATGAGTTTAAGAGTTCATGTATATCATAGTATGGTCAAAGTGCAAGTACATTAACAATAATTACATATGAAGGTTCAGCTTATGGTTCGAATCCACCCAGTAAAAGCAAGGCGAAGGTGGCCTAAATTTGATCTCCTAATTGAGGTTTCAAGTAATTTTTTCGTTTTAAGTTTTGTTGGGTGGCTGATAGAGTTCCTAGCAATGCAAACGTGGCATAGAAAGACGTAAGAATACATAGATAAGTTTTATAATTGTGATGGGAGTTTTGTATGCCTTAAGAATGCAGATTGTACACAAGTTGTAAGAAGTTGCATAGGAGTTGCCTCAATATATGCAGGGAGCATATATAAATTGCAGATTGGGATCTCATAAAGGTATGGATCGAGGAAGGTGATTTAGACTAAAAGATCAATGCAATAAAGTAAATGAACGAATCTCCTCCTCAATAGAAAAGGAAAAACATAGTAGATACTCCATGCTCTTCTTCTTTCAGTGTCCAGAACAAGTCATCAATTTTAAGAGCTCACTCTACCCCGGGTGGAAGATGGCTTCATTTGTTTGTTGTTTCATTTTGTTGTATCAGAATTGTTTCATTTTGTTGCATTGTGTTTCTTTTTGTTGTATCAAAATTGTTTCGCTTTGTTGTATTGTGTTTCCTTTTGTTGTATCGTATCGCTTTTTGTTGTAGTCTGTTGCTTATTGTTTTTTATTGTCGATTTTGTTTATTGTTTAAGGAAGTTCATTTGGTGTGATACTTTTATATATTGGCTTTGTTGCTTTTTGTTGCATCAACTGTATTGTTTTTTGTTGCATCGTGTTGCATCATGTTATTTTTTGTTGCACTTTGTGGCATCATGTTGCTTTTTGTTGCACTTTGTTGCTTATTATTGTTTTATTGTTGAAATAGATTGTTTATGTTTATTTAGGTTTCAATTTATCTTTTCTACTTCTTTAAATAAAGATCTATATAGTTTTTTATACACAGACACAAAAATGATAAATTTATATAAACAACTAGAAACTTAAAAAAAAAATAAGAAACAAAAATTTCAAAGTTATAAACAAAAAGAAACAGTATGAAACAAAAACTAACAATAAAATTATAATCATAATTAAAAGATTAAGTTCTTTAAGAAACATTACATTACAAAATTCATATATTTTTAAAATTTTTAATTATGTTTCAAGTTCGTTATTTTGGCTTTTTTTATTTTTATTTACTGAGTTTTTGAACATTACACTCTTTAAGTTAAATTAATTATCTTTTTTTATAATGTTTTGAATATTTTAATTTTTTAAATATTTATAAAATTAATTTTATTTATTTCAATTTTGAGTTTTTTTTTTATATTTATATTATTTTTATTCTTCTGGTGTGCATATTTTTAATTTTTTTAAATAACCACTCCTTCACAAAAGTTTGTATTTACTTTTGAAATTGTTTACTAGCTTCAAATCATTTTTATCTTATTTACACATTGTATTTATAAATTTAACGTTCTTTTTTTTTAACTTTTTAAAACTTTTTATTACACTTTTAATTTTTTATATTTTTGACTTTTTAAAATATTTTATTTTATAAGAATATTTGTGTTTTATTTATTTATTTTATAAATATCATATTCATCTAATTTTAATATTTAACTTACAATTTTTCAATTTTTAACTTTTATAATGGATTTTTTATTTTATATTTTTAGTTTGAGCTTTTAAATATTATATACTATTTCTATTTTTATGTTTTCTATTTATTTTCACCTTTTGGATTTTCCATGAATTCTCACATCTTTCTATTTAAAAAAATTGCATTGAAAAGCAAGTGACAGCTCTGCATAATATGGAGCATCAAACTATCAAAGTATCAATGCATTAATACACCTTGGTATTAATGTACTCCGTATTTGTTAGAGCGTAGCAGCCCACCATAGTACGAAGAATCAAATAACATGGGCGGATGCTTTATACTCCGTATGGTCTATTTGTGAAAAGAAAGTATTAGCAAGTCTATTTTTGAGAAAAAATTGAAGGGTGACAAAAGTGATATTATTTTCACTTTGAAGTCTATTTGTGAAAAATTCCCTTTAAACTTTGAGAAGATCTCTACATATGACTAAAAAAGGATAAAATTCATAAATAAATGGGAAAATACAAATTAAAAATCCAACCTTTTAACGTTCTTCATTCGTTGGTCTCACTTTATCGTTATTCATGAATAATCCAACCTTTGCACCTCATCTTCATTCATTGGTCCCTGATCGGTTGATGATCTGCTATTTCAGGTTTTTTCATTTTCTTTACAAATCATTCAACCATAAATCTCACCTTTCACAAATCTTTTTCAAACGGTCTCATGTATCATTTTTCTTTTTTCCCTAAAACTTTCCCCTTTTTATTTTCATCGCCTTGACTCTTTTATTCTCCTTTTTTGTCTTCTTATTATTATTTTTACTACTTTTCAAATTATTTTATTTTTTCAATGTTTATGTATTCCATTTTTCCTTTTTTTCTTCTTCCCGTTTATTATTTCATTTTCATTTTTTATATAACTTTTCAGATTAGTTTCCTTATAAAAAATCTTTTTCTCACCGTACTAACTTTTTACTTTATTTTCTTTTTACTTACACTTGTATTCCTTTTTCCCTTTCTTACCTTTATTCTACCACTAATATATTTTTGAGAAAAAAGACCCAAAATAGGACTAAACTAATTCTTAAATGCACAAATAGGACTATGTTATTTATCTTCCCAAAATAGGAATAAAATACCGTCTATCTTCTTATTCTACATTTCTACCCTTTCCATAACTTAATAGGATAATCATATTTTACATTATAATAATTTAAAAGAAAAATAACAAAAGATATTTCAATTTATAAAAATATAGTAACAAAATAAAAAAAGGTATGGTAATGGTAGAAATGTAAAATAAGAAGATAGACGGTATTTAAAGGCATTTCAATTTATAAAAATATAGTAACAAAATAAAAAAAAAGGTATGGTAATGGTAGAAATGTAAAATAAGAAGATAGACGGTATTTTATTATAATGTAAAATATGATTATCCTATTAGTTATGGTAAGGGTAGACATGTAGAATAAGAAGATAGACAGTACTTTAGTAAAGATAAATAACATAGCTTAGTCATATTTGTGCATTTGGGGATTAATTAATTTAGTCCTATTTTGGGGGCTATTTTCTCAAATACTCCCTCCGATTCTAAATAAACTTCACACTTTCCTTTTTGGGTAGGTTCAAAATAAACTTCACACTTCTATTTTTGGAAAGTTTTAAATATAAAGTTACCCTTATACCCTTACTTTATTATCTACTTTACACATACTTTCTCTCTCACACTACACTTTATTTACTTTTTGTAGGGGTATATGACGAGGAAGTCAAAACAAAAAAAATCCACTTTCTTAAAAACCGTAAAGTCAAACTATGAAGATTATTTAGGACCGGAGGGAGTATATATTAGTGGTATAATAAAGGTAAGAAAATGAAAAGGAAATAAATAAGTGTAAGTAAAAAAGGAAATAAAGTAAAAAGTTAGTACGGTGAGAAAAAGATCTTTTATAAGGAAAGTAATCCGAAAAATATATATAAATGAAAATGAAATAATAAACGGAAAGAAGAAAAAGAAGGAAAAAAGGAATACATAAACATTGATAAAAAAAATGAAAAGTAATAAAAATAAAAATAAGAAGACAAAAAGGGGGAATAAAAGAGCCTAGACGATAAAAATAAAAAAGGAAAAGTTTTAGGAAGAAAAAAGAAAAATGACATGTGGGACCACTTGATGAAGATTTATGAAAGGTGGGATTTATGGTTGAATGATTTGCAAAGAAAATGAAAAAACCTGGAATAGCAGGTCATCAACCGGTTATGGACCAATGAATAAAGATGAGGTGCAAAGATTGGATTATTCATAAATAACGATAAAGTGAGACCAACAAATGAAGACCGCTAAAAGATTGGATTATTAATTTCAATTTTCCCTAAATAAATCTACTCTTATGTTATTATCAACAAAAGTTTTATTCACTCCTTTTTGAGAAGTTTTAATATAACTTAGGAAAAATTGACAAGAATAATCCCACTTTTCACTCATCTTCTCATAATAATTCTTATACCTTTACATAATCCTAAAATAATCCCACCTTTGCACCCTATCTTCTTTCATTGGACTCTCACTAAGTTTTTTACCTTTCTTTGAAAATCTTATATAAATAATCTCACATTTATAAAGATATACTCCGTAATAGAAAAGTGAAGGGTCAGATTATTTATATGATTTTCAAAAAAGAGTAAAAAACATGGTCAGGGTCCAATGAATTAAGATGGGGTGCAAAAGTGGGATTATTCTGGGATTACCTAAAGGTGGGATTATTATGAGAAGACCAGCGAAAGGTGAGATTATTTTTGTCAATTTTTCCTATAACTTATTATTTTAATATGGTTACAGCATTGTAGGACTAAATAAATCCTTCTCGAGGAATAAAACACATTTGATCTTATTCTTAACTTTGTTTATGTTTTAGTC